TATAACAAAGTGAATCAGCTATACATATACATACATCCCCATATCTCTTCCCTCTTGCGTCTCCCTCCCACCCTGCCTAGACCACCACTCTAGGTGGACACAAAGCTCCCAGCTGATCTCCCTGTGCTATGCGGCTGCTTCCCACTCGTGATCTATTTTACAATTGGTAGTGTATATATGTCCATGCCACCCTCTCACTTCGTCCCAGCTTACCCTTCCCCCTCCCTGTGTCCTCAAGTCCATTCTCTATGTCTGTGTCTTTATTCCTGTCCTGCCCCTAGGTTCCTCAGAACCTTTTTTTTTTTTTTAGATTCCATATACATGTGTTAGCATATGGTATTTGTTTTTCTATTTCTGACTTACTTCACTCTGTATGACAGTCTCTAGGTCCATCCACCTCACTACAAATAACTCAATTTTGTTTCTTTTTATGGCTGAGTAATATTCCATTGTATATATGTGCCACATCTTCCTTATCCATTCATCTGTCAATGGACACTTAGATTGCTTCCATGTCCTGGCTACTGTAAATAGAGCTGCAGTGAACATTGTGGTATGTGACTCTTTTTGAGTTATGGTTTTCACAGGGTATATGCCCAGTAGTGGGATTGCTGGGTCATACGGTAGTTCTATTTTCTGTTTTCTGAGGAAGCTCCACACTGTTCTCCAGAGTGACTGGATCAATTTCCATTCCCCCCTAACAGGGCAAGAGGGTTCCCCTTTCTCCACACCCTCTCCAGCATTTATTGTTTGTAGATTTTTTGATGATGGCCATTCTGACTAGTGTGAGGTGATACCTCGTTGTAGTTTTGATTTGCATTTCTCTAATGATCATTGATGTTGAGCATCCTTTCATGTGTTTGTTGGCAATCTCTATATCTTCTTTGGAGAAATGTCTATTTAGGTCTTCTGCCCATTTTTAGATTGGGTTTTTTTTTTATATTGAGCTGCATGAGCTGCTTGTAAATTTTGGAGATTAATCCTTTGCCCGTTGCTTCATTTGCAAATATTTTCTCCCATTCTGAGGTGTGTCTTTTCATTTGCTTTATGGTTTCCTTTGTTGTGCAAAAGTTTTTAAGTTTCATTAGGCCCCATTTGTTTATTTTTGTTTTTATTTCCATTTCTTTAAGAGGTGGGTCAAAAAGGATCTTGCTGGGCTTCCCTGGTGGCACAGTGGTTGAGAGTTCGCCTGCCGATGCAGGGGACACGCGTTCGTACCCCGATCTGGGAGGATCCCACATGCCGTGGAGCGGCTGGGCCCGTGAGCCATGGCCGCTGAGCCTGCGCATCCGGAGCCTACGCTCTGCAACGGGAGAGGCCACAACAGTGAGAGGCCCGCGTACCGCAAAAAAGAAAAAAAAAAAAGGATCTTGCTGTGATTTATGTCAGAGTGTTCTGCCTATGTTTTCTTCTAACAGTTTTATCGTGTCTGGCCTTACATTTAGGTCTTTAATCCATTTTGAGTTTATTTTTGTGTATGGTTTTAGGGAGTGTTCTAATTTCATTCTTTTACATGTAGCTGTCCAGTTTTCCCAGTACCACTTATTGAAGAGGCTGTCTCTTCTCCATTGTATATTCTTGCCTCCTTTATCAAAGATAAGGTGACCATATACACGTGGGTTTATCTCTGGGCTTTCTCTCCTGTTCCATTGATCTATATTTCTGTTTTTGTGGCAGTACTATACTGTCTTGATTAACGTAGCTTTGTAGTATAGTCTGAAGTTAGAGAGCCTGATTCCTACAGCTCGTTTTTCTCTCTCAAGATTGCTTTGGCTATTTGGGGTCTTTTGTGTTTCCATAGAAATTGTGAAATTTTTTGTTCTAGTTCTGTGAAAAATGCCATTGGTAGTTTGATAGGGATTGCATGTAATCTGTAGATTGCTTTGAGTAGTATACTCATTTTCACAATGTTGATTCTTCCAATCCAAGAACATGGTGTATCTGTCCATCTGTTTGTATCATCTTTAATTTCTTTAATCAGTGTCTTATAGTTTTCTGCATACAGGTCTTTTGTCTCCTTAGGTAGGTTTATTCCTAGGTATTTTATTCTTTTTGTTGCAGTGGCAAATGGGAGTGTTTCCTTAATTTCTCTTTCAGATTTTTCATCATTAGTGTATAGGAATGCAAGAGATTTCTGTGCATTACTTTTGTATCCTGCTACTTTACCATATTCGTTGATTAGCTCTAGTAGTTTTCTGGTGGCATCTTTAGGATTCTCTATGTATAGTATCATGTCATCTGCAAACAGTGACAGTTTTACTTCTTCTTTTCCAATTTGGATTCCTTTTATTTCTTTTTCTTCTCTGATTGCTGTGGCTAAAACTTCCAAAACTATGTTGAATAATAGCGGTGAGAGTGAGCAACCTTGTCTTCTTCCTGATCTTAGTGGAAATGGTTTCAGCTTTTCACCATTGAAAACGATGTTGGTTGTGGGTTTGTCACATATGGCCTTTATTATGTTGAGGTAAGTTCCCTCTATGTCTACTTTCTGGAGGGTGTTTATCATAAATGGGTGTTGAAGTTTGTCGAAAACTTTTTCTGCATCTATTGAGATGATGTTATGGTTTTTATCCTTCAGTTTGTTAGTATGGTGTATCAAATTGATTGATTTGTGTATATTGAAGAATCCTTGCATTCCTGGGATAGACCCCACTTGATCATGGTGTATGATCCTTTTCACGTGCTGTTGGATTCTGTTTGCTAGTATTTTGTTGAGTATTTTTGCATCTATGTTCATCAGTGATATTGGCCTGTAGTTTTCTTTTTGTGGCATCTTTGTCTGGTTTTGGTATCAGCGCAATGGTGGCCTCATAGAGTGAGTTTGGGAGTGAGAGGAGAGAAGGATAGGTGTTAGCTCTTCTCTAAATGTTTGATAGAATTCGCCTGTGAAGCCATCTGGTCCTGGGATTTTGTTTGTTGGAGATTTTTAGCCAGAATCTCAATTTCAGTGCTTGTGATTGGTCTGTTTATATTTTCTATTTCTTCCTGGTTCAGTCTCGGAAGGTTGTGCTTTTCTAAGAATTTGTCCATTTCTTCCAGGTTGTCCATTTTATTGGCATAGAGTTGCTTGTAGTAATCTCTCATGATCCTTCAAATTCTTTGAGTGTAAAGAGAATCTTCCCTCTCAAAAAATACAGCACAACAAAATAAAAATACCCCTGTACTTTCAGTAACAAGGCTGACCCTGCAGTCGAAGAAGATAACAACTGGACCCTCCTTGGTCTTCTTGCAAAATCCCCGTTTGGGATGTTTATATATTCACAAATGTTGTAATTGGCCGTAACCCACATAGGAAGCCTGACTTCACTACACAAAAGATGAGTTTGTTGGCTCGCTCTGGGTTCTTGATGTGTGCCAGAAATCAAGCTCTACACTTAATTTTTGTCTTTAAAGATTTTAACTGACACAAATTAACTTTTGAGTCAAGTTCATGCAAGCATTTATATTTATTACAGAGTTAAGTATATGTACTGAAGCACCTCCTTTGTGCTTGCAAAAAGAAAAATCATGGTTCTGGTATTAAATATACAGACATTTTTGTTCCATGAGATAAGAACAATTATTTCTCCACTGCACTTACAGTGTTTCTGTCAATCTTGCTGCCTTTGCTTTGGCACAAGTCCCAGTGCCTTCCATACAGGGAAAAAGGAGCTAACTTTGAAGTTCAAACCTGTGACCTCAGGCCTGTTTCTTTCTTAAGTAACATATCTTCTTTTCAATGTTTTTCCCCTAAAGGCAAAAACCTAAAGGAAATACAAACTTTGTGTCTAACCAAGATTTTCTTTTAATGATTATAGAATATTTATGCATATCTAGGCAATAGATGGGGTCCATTGATAAAAGAAAATGGTGGCATTGTTTTTTGCTAGTGGTTGTAATGGGACTGTAGTCATATAAACCATTTGTAAATTGTTTTAAAAAAATGTTGAATATTGATGGATTTGGTTGTTGCCTTTGCTACACTTTATTTCCTCGAGTAGTTCAGTTGAAGCCAATGCCACTATGGGTTCTAAAGCACCGTCCGTGTTGTCTGGGCATGATCTGTGGTATCTGGGCATGGTCAAGGTTATCTTCATTACTTCTCCTGGAGGTTCAGAAGGTTGGCCTATTGACTGAAAAGATGTTGTGGGCTATAAACTCAGACCACATTTAAAGAAAAAAGCCTGGGTAGAAGATGCTACAAAGATTTCTAATCTTTAACCTAGGAATCCTGAATGTTGTTAACTTCTTTGCCCTCCTTGCGATGTCAAGACACCTGGGGTGCAGATAGAATCAGTTGGCCCTTAGAATTGACCAGACTGAAGCCTCCATTCTGCTTCTTATACTTTTCCACTTGATGCTTCCCAGGATGCCCACTTCCTGTCACCCAGGTATGAAGTGTCAGAAATATTTTGTTGACAGTCTTTTAAAGAGACAAGGCATGATTGAGATACATATATACACACCTTATAGCCCATTATTAACAGAATTGATTTTGCATATTTGACTTTGTTGATTAAATTTGTATGACATATTCAGAAGCACATTAAAAATGAGCTGTTTGGGCTTCCTTGGTGGCGCAGTGGTTGAGAGTATGCCTGCCGATGCAGGGGACACAGGTTCGTGCCCCGGTCCGGGAAGATCCCACATGCCACGGAGCGGCTGGGCCTGTGAGCCATGGCCGCTGAGCCTGCGCGTCCGGAGCCTGTGCTCCGCAACGGGAGAGGCCACAGCAGTGAGAGGCCCGCGTACCGCAAAAAAAAAAAAAAGAGCTGTTTAACCAACTGCCACAAAATTAATATGCTTAGTCAGTGGTAAGGTCGTAAACTTCATCAAAGTTGTGGCACATTTCTACAATGTACACAGTTAGTGAAACTGAGTAAAAGCCAACATATGACCCTGCCTAAAATCACAGCTGAACCAGTGAAGCACTCTTAAGGTAAATAAAATAAAAAATGATAATCAGAACCAAAATGGCCAGACTCCCAGACCCTAATGATTATATTCAACTTTTCCATTACCTTGACCCTGGACATTGGTGCAAAAATAAATAATTGCCAAAAAAGCTGGAAACAGCCAGTGCTGCATCTTGCACTGAAAAATCTTCATTTTATTCCCTGCTTTTCACATGGGATGTAACAGCAGTCCTAGAAACAGAGAACACAGAGATATTTTGAGAAGACTTAAAATAAATTATATGCAGTTGTCTAAGACAAACAAGCCAACATGTATTAGTATTGTCAGGAAGTAACTCATTCCTTAGGGCATTGTATATTTCACTCTAAAATGTACTCTGATAAAAGAAAGATTTTTGAGAAGATGCTGTAAATGAAGAGAATTATTAGAAATATTTGGGCAAGAAGTTCAGAAGGTACTCTGTGGCTCTTTTGCAAGGCAAAAATAGCACAATGAATTTCCCAGATGGATAAATTCCAAAAGTTGGCCTGAAATGAGCATTATAATCAGACAGTTACAACTCCCTTGCCAGTCATAAGTATAGATATACAGGACGATTCTTCTGGTGATCAAGGAGCATTTGAAAAACCACTTTGTGCGATTATTAAATCATCACTGAGCTTTCACTTCATTGGGCTGAATAACCCTTAATCTTTTCATCTTTGCTTATAATTTTTTTCTCCATATGTGTGAATCTAAAACTCTTCTAAGATCATCCTTTTCGTTAGAATATCAATAAAAGAGAAGCTCCAAGAAAAGGTGAAAGAAATGAAAAAGGGGGAAATTAAGGAAGGAAAAGAAGGAAGGAGGGAGGGTAGGAAGGAGGGAGGGAAAGGAGGAGGGGGGAAAAGTGTGAATGTTTGGGGTTAATTTAAAAGGCCAGTCTACAAGCGCTTGACTACAATTCTATTGCAAGCCATTACAGAGGAGAAATTCTGAGTCCTTACCTCAGAAATTAAGACATCTCAAAAGTTTTCTTCTATCCAGGGCATTTTTTGAAGTAGGTATGATTATAATATTGATTTACAGATAAGGAAAATAAGGCACAGAGAGTTTCCCCAAGTCACATAGATAGTGAGTTCAGGATCCAGGATTTCAGCCCACACAGACAATCAGACGTGGTACAAGCATCTTAGGAAAATGCTTCTAAAGTATCACACTTTATATCACTTTCTTTTCAGTTTAAAATATCTTTTCTCATTCTGATTACAAAAATAATGAGTTTAATCATAGAAAATTAGAAAATACAAGAAAGCACAGCAAAGAGTATGTGCAAATATTTGCTGATGACATAAATATCCTGTTACAATATGCATGGCAATATCACAACTTATTTATTATCTAGCTTTATTTGGAAATTTAGATTGTTTCTAAATTTCCCTAATACATGTAACACTGAAATGACCATCCTTATTCACATCTCTTTGAATACATGACTATTGATTTCTTTGGCTAAATTCCCAATTGTAGGACTGTCGGGTAAAACAAGATGTGTTTTTTAAAGGTTTTTAAAACATAGGTACATAATGCCTTATACTGATTTCCACTTCTGTCAGCATCTTATATGAGTACCAAGTCACATCACTTCCATCATCACAGGGGTTCACTGCTTTCAACATATCCTGATTTGATAGGTAAAATGTGATTATCACAATATCATATTAATTTTTTTTATAATCAGTAAAATGTAACATTTTGTGTTTGCTAGCTACTTATACTTTTTATAAAATACCTGTTCATATATTTCACCCATTTTCTCATTGATTTGTAAGAACTCTTTATATATTATTAATTTTAACATATATACTGCAGTATTTTTCAAGTTTGTTTTTGACCTTTCAATTTTGTTTTATTGGGTCAAGATTTTTTTTTTTAATCATGGCATCTGCTTTGATCTTTTTCTTTATGGTTTCTGATTCAGTGTCATGGGTAAAATCATTTTTTCCATCTCAAGGTATATTTCTAGTTATCTTAATTTTTTAATTCCAGTTGTGAATGGAAACCTGGATTATTTTTTAATATAGAAAAGATAGTGATTTTTATCTATTTATTTTATAGTAGGCCACCATTCTGAACTCTTACTCTATATTTTTTCAATTTAATCTCTTGCATTTTCCGGGTTGACAATTGCAACCACCGTGTGTGTGTGTGTGTGTGTGTGTGTGTGTGTGTGTGTGTGTGTGTGTGTGTGTGTGTGTGTGTGTGTGTGTGTGTTTAATTATATAGGCCAGGAACTGGGCATTTTTTTTCCAACCAGGAATGAATGCTGACTTTTGCCTTTGTGCTGTTTCATCTATGGAGATGTTCATGTTTTTCATCTATACCTCTTAGTGTAATTCATTGCTTTGGTAGTGTCTAGTATTAATCTATCCTTGAAACACAGAAATAAATCCTGCCTGTTCATGGAAATTACTGTGGGGTTCTTTTTTTAACTTTAACGTAATTATAATCGTTTTAGTTTTCAGCCAAGCCATTTTCAAATAGATGACAGAGTCATATTATTTCTGTCAAGAAGATTCTGTAACAATTTGAGCTATTGGTTCCTTATGGTCTAATTAAACTCTTCAAACTGAAAGGATGGAAGCAGAATTGTTTGAAATAACAAAGACAGTAATAGAGCAAAAGAGTCCTTCTCTCTAACTCCTAAAGAACTAACCAAATGCAAGCACTCTTTGTTAAATGCTAATGATTTTTCAAATGTTTTAAACTTTAAAATACCTATGATTTTCTCTGTTATAGATATATGTCTGTGGTGGCAGAAAATAAAAGTAAATGAATTCAAGTTACCTATTTGCAAATTAAAAATGAACATAATTGATTGCAGGACTCAAAAATTGGATATTAATTCTTCTTGAGAAACAAGAGTGCGTACTATTCTAGGTGACATTTATCCTCAAAAGGAAGAGTATGGGTTTTAAAAAATTATTATTACAGTGATATTGTAAGCCACATTAAGTTTATCTAGTGTTTTCATACCATTACCTCTTCAAGAACTTTGATAGATCCAGATAAAACCCCTTCTGTAGCTTTGGATTATATCTAGTGGAGCTATCTTTTAGTTTCCAAAGCTTGGGAGGAGGCTCTGAGCCTTGCATGTTTTTTAAAGCAATCAATATTGCTTATTTAATCCAAGTATTTTTAAAATTGCAATCATGTTACTTTTTCCCAATCCTGCCTGCTGTTCTTTTGAGAGATGCTACACTGACTGGCACATTCTTTGAAACAACATATGTAATCTAGTGAAGCACGTCAGCCAGGCTTTAGGCTGGAGCCAGTCTTGGGAAATATTTTTCAAACAATCCTGCTTCCATCCTTTCAGTTTGAAGAGTTTAATTAGAAAACTGCACTGAGTGAGTACTGGGTCCTATAAGAGTGGGTCCTACTATTCTCAGATTCTGTGAATAAAATAGGAGGATTTCAGTAGCAGTAGGAGGATTAGTGCAGCCTTCAGGTAGCAGCTATAGATGCTAAAACATCTGATGACCTACTTCAGTGAGCTTCCACATGTTAGGATCTGGTCTCTGCCACCCTTGGGGGCACCTGGGGCCTGGCCTTGCTAGCAATACCACACAGGGCTCTGAGGCTCAGCCTGATCATCTCTGGGTGAGGAAGTGTGAAGGCCACTGTAGATCTCAGTCATGGCTAAGATAGTGATTTCTTTCTTTTCTATGTAAAATCATAGTCATCCTGCTTTCTTGGCTTCTTCTAACTCCCCCAAGGCTATTCATTGCTCTTGAGAGAGGATTCCTTTTTCAAGGACCCACGCTCCTTCATGATCCAGTCCAGCACCATGTGGCTGTTCACCTTTTCATCCAGGGAATATTGGAAATAGTAGATGACATCCTATCAGGAATGCTTTGTTTCACAAAGGGCTTTTCGGCTTCCTTTCCAGTGCAATAGTTGGAAAATGGTCATCAGCTCTTGAAATAAACATGGTTGTCCCAGTGTTTAACTAACATGGAGTCATAGGCTTTGATACAGATGCTGGAGTCATGAGCGCATCTAGTGTGCCTCTGATGCCGCAACTGTTTCCTGAATACTTTCCATAATGAATTCTTTGGTGTAATCCTTCTAAAGGGCAGCTCACTGAAGAAGGAGTTGACTGGGACAACTTCAGCAGCATCCCATCAGGCCTCAGCTCTACCCAAGCAGCACTGAAAATTGCCAAAACACTGTCCCCCTGGGAGGGTCACATAACTCACAAAGGAAGGTCTAGGGGATGACATGGACCTGTAGACCACTGCAGCTTCACTTGGGAGTGCAACCCTTTGGTGCTGCTTGCTTTTCCAAAGTTCCTGTAACACTGAGACAATATTGAAGTCTTCAGAGATGAGAGCCACATCTCTCTGAGGCAAGAGCTGAGCAATGTAGTGTCTGAGGGATTCCAAGGTTATGTCCACCTTCAGTCTGCAATGTAAGCCTTCTGCAGAGCGCTCCCAGGCTTGAATTCTTGCAGTCCTGGACTGATTCTGTGCAGCTCATTGACGCATTGGATTACCAAAGAATCCCTTTAACATCTGCCAATCAGACATTTTCCAGAGTCTAAAGACTCCTCAGGGCACCCTCCTCCCTGGCTAACTGATCTTTTTTGTTTCTGCATATTATTGTTTTTATATCATGTCGACTTTGTACAGCTGCTTTTTTGGATCTATGTTAATAACCAAAATTGACTAAGAGTTTTCTTTTCTTAAAAGGTTTGGTGTCAAGATTATTCTAGCTTCATAAAAAAAAGTTAGAAAGGTTTCCATTTTTTCATTGTGCCGTAATAGTTTAAGTAGCATGAGAATGATCTACTCTATGAAAGCCTATGAATGATTTGAGTGAGAAAATCATATGGGCCTATTCTCTTTCTGAAGCTAATTCCTACACAGCTTTAAAAATATATTTTGCCTTATTTATAAACCTACTTAGCTTTTTTACTTCTTGGTTCTAGTTTGGATATTTTCCCATAAAGGTATTCTTTTAATTTTGATTTTCAGATTGATTAGCACAGAGTTGTGTGATCTCTCAAATTACAACCTATCTTTTCTTGTTATAGCTCCAGTATCAGTATTAAAGTGATGTGTTTCTGACTTTCTTTTTTCTCTCCAAAATAGATAAGCTATATATATATTTGTCCAGATTGCAATTTTTTTGAGAATAGTTTTTTTTATTTGCCAATATTATTTTTTGATTTCTAATTTATTT